GGGCCCCACCCAGGGGCCTAGGACGTCGTAACGTATTTTCGTAATATGCGTGCAGATCCAAGCAGTGCGGCTTTTTGCATTTGACTGTTATTATTATTATAAGGGTCAAAGAAAAGGATTCAATTTTATTTGTTTTTCTCTTAGTACTTCTGCTGCTAAGAACACCAGCAACTTTCCAGAACAGTATTTTAAATGTTTTGTTTTGTTTTTTGAGATTTGGAGCTTGGATCTTATAAATTACTTAGTTGACTGCTTTAATTTGTATTTTGCAAATATTCTATTGGTTTATTAAATGCTTTCATCTATTTTTAGTATTAAATTTTGTTGTATTTTGAGGATATAATAAATGCAGTTGTACAATGAGATCTAGTGTTCTTGTAACTACAAACAGAATATTAGCCATATTCCTGGATGTGTATATTTAATTTTTTTAAGAGTTACTATCAATGGTTTTTTGTTGTTTTTATTGTAGTTTAATTCCCATCCAATGATTTTGCCCTTATTAGGATAATGGGGCTAGAGATTTAGGACCCGAAAACACACCCATCAGTTTGAAAACATTCATTGTAACCACATAAAATCCTATTTTACTCTTCATGGCTTTGTTTGAGAAAATTCCATTTTTTTCTGCTCAGCCACTCTTTGAAGCAGATGTAATAATTAATCTCTTTAAACAGAACTTTCTCTATTGAAGGTTAGAAGCCTGTATTTTAATCAGATGAACTAAGCAGAAAAGCTAGGATTGAGGTTTTTTCTTTCAATTCTGCTTTGTTTTTATATTCTTATGCCCTTGAGTACTATGATGGAAATAAAAGAAATACTTAAATGTGCCCTGCATTCCTAATGTTCAATACTTAAAAATGTTTGAAGCAGCATCTATGTTGCTATGAGACTAACAAACCTTTGAATAAATGCACTTTGTCAGCAAGTGTTCTTAAATAATCAAATACTGCAAATTCCATTAATTGTTGGGTATCTTAATATTAGACTAGTATCACTAATTTGTTTAGGGAAAGTGTTCCTTTAATACAGGAAGAAATGCTGTGTATTTCAAGTAATAGGAGAAGCACTTTTCCTAGTTAATTTAGTTCACAAATATAATCCAGAATGTCAGCATTCATTCTCTCTTGTTGAACCCTTTTAATTAGGTTCTCCCTACCCCGTCTCCTTTTTTCACAGATGGACCATGATCCTAGAAACCCTGCATATATAGCTGCTCAGGGTGCATTGCCTTCTACTGTCACAGACTTCTGGCAGGTAAATTTACCATTAATTGATATTTTTTTGCAAATTCCATTTGCAAAACTTTGTATTTAAACCATGTTAAATATTGACAATAATGTGAATTTCAAATAGAATATCAACATAAGCTTGCTAGCGTATATGTGTGATTATGTGTTTATTTACATAGACTTACTTCAGAGTATTCTGAATTGATGTGGAGGAAGGAAATTATCAGATCAAAATATGCCCTCTCAGGTCACAAATGAGTTTTTTCTAAATACCGTATATGATTCATTTATTAGAATTAATAATATGAATTTTTTTGAAGCAAAGTTAGCCACAGATGTATAAAGTAAATAGAAAAATATTTAAACTGCCATTTGAGATATCTGAACCTAGCAGAAGTGATGGAACAAAGTCAGAAGAATGGACACAACCAGATGCATGATGAAAAGCTTTGCTCAAAGTTTTATTTATTTATTGAATGTATATGTTCCCCATGTCATTCTGAAAAGCTGGGCAGCATATACACTTAGTTTTTTTTTCTTGTAATTAGGACCGGCAACTCTATCAATAGAAATCAAAGTCATTACAGGCAAAATCACTTGACCACATCAACTTACAACAGTTACCAATTTCTGGTTGCCATAAATAAATGAATTCCACAATATTGTTAAGTGCAGTGTTAAGTGGCCCCAATTGACCTTCATCATCATCTTGCTCCCACTGCGGCTGAGGCATGACCAACATATGGCTGGCTTTGCACTGCAAAAAAATAGCAGTCCTTTTGCAAAAACACTTGGCCAGAACATGGCTTTGTATTCCTAAAAAGAAAAAAAAGAAAAACCGAAAGCAGCAAAAGGAAAGGGAGTTCCAGTGCACTTCAATTCTACAATTGCTTTTTGGCTTTCCCCCACTGCATCAGGACAAAGCCCAGCTCCAACCTGACCCAGCAGGCCAGGCATGTCTTGTTAGCAGCCAGAGCAAGAAGAGAGCAAAAGTCAGCTGGAGCAGGAGAGTACAAGATGGCATCCGTGTCTATAGTTGGAATGGGGTGGGGCAGCTGCTGATTCCCAATGCCTGACAAGCTTTCCCAGAGTTGCACTGCTTTGTGGCTGTTTTGTTAACCAGCAAAGTCCCTTACCTTACTGAGGCTCAGACTGGGAGCAACCAATCTCAGAATGGCTTGAATTGGGGGGGAATATTCATTTAATGACCTATGATTCTCAGTTAACAAGAGCAACGAGAAGTATGGAGATTGTGGTTATGAAGTGATGTGGTCATATGATGTCTCACTGTGGAATCCTTGGTACTTTCTGAACTTCTTGTTTTCTTTCAGCCATTTGATTACTTAACTGGGTAACATCGTCAATGCTAGAAAGGAGTGAGTTTTGCTGTTGTGCCCTGTTGGTATTGGTGGGGATATTGTTTTCTTCTTGGTAGTTCCTTGATTAGGCTGTTGTTCACTGCTTGATGATTTGTCTGAGTTAGTAGTTCCTTGATTAGGGTTTGTTGCTTGATTATTTGTTTGCTGTTGCTCCTGATGTTAATCCCAGTTTATCTGGGTATTGATTGCTGGCAAGGAGGTATTCTGATTTATTTTTCCTTTTTAGCTTTTTTATTATATCTTTTGAATCATATGTAAATGTGCTTTATCTTTATGAGTCTATTGATGACTGATTTGTCTGAGGGCTTAGTTTAAGGAATTATCTAACATTTTTAAAATTTAGCTAGGTTTGGAATGTTCACAGTGTTCCAGTTGAAACTTTGGTTAACTATATCTGCACATTGTGAAATCAAGGAGTTTTCATCATTTTTTTTTACTGCTAGTTGGTGTTCATAGATGCACAGATGCATAGTCTTTTGCCTGTCTGTCTTATAATGCTTACACTGTATGTCAGTGATGGCTAACCTTTTTATCATCATATGCCAAAAGCGGGGAGAGCGCATGGGTGCATGCCCACACCCATAATTCTACGTGCCCTCCACCCACACCTGTGCATGCAACCCCCTGCACATGCTCACGTGACACCTCCCCCCCCACCGCTTTTCGCACATGATGGCACAGTGGACCCATTTTTCAGCCTCTCCAGCCTCCAGAGGCTTTCTAGGAGCCTGGGAAGGGCGAAAATTGCCTCTTCTTCCCCCCTCCCTCTGCAGGCCCTCCGTAGGCTGAAAGCGGCCCATTTTCCGACTTCCGGTTTGTGTGTTGGGCCATTTTTTGCCCTCCAGAGGCTTTAGGGAAGCCTGAAGACTCCAGAGGATGAAAAACAGCCCAGCACACAAAGAGGAAGTCCGTTCCCAAATATCCTGTTTGCACGTTGGGTTGTTTTTCACCCTCCAGAGGCTTCAGGTAAGCCTCTAGAGGGTGAAAAACAGCAAAAATGAAGGTCGAAATCAGCAGGGCAGCGCCTTGTGTGCCCTAAAAAAGGGCTCCACATGCCGTAGGTTCACCATCATGGCTGTAAGTTATAGATGATTCCTTCTTTTTCTTGTGCTACTGAAGAAACACGGTTTAACACTATTAAGATGTTTTGGAGGGCTTTGATTGGTGTGCTACATTGATTCCATGTGGTTGTAAAAGTCTGCTGGTTGTTTCTTTGGGGCCCCCACTTCTGAGTCAAGGACTGTCTGTGTACAAAAAGGGTAGGGGTTGTGTCATGAAACTGCTGTGACTCTTCTTGTTCCCTATTCCCACCTCACAATTATCGCTGATTATGAAAATTCAATTTGTAACACATCTGTAGGGTACCATCTTGGATTGGCTGTATTATGAGAGTTTTTAGGTTATATGTTCCTAATTCATTTAGGAATTTAGAGTTTATAATACATTACTTTTTAAAGTAAGGGAAGAAAAGCCTAGGTTCTTCAGATTTTTATTGAGCTTTATCAACCATGACCAACCCCTGTGTTGGCTGAGTGACAGCTATCAATAGAAGAGAAGAATGGTGTGATGGGTGTTTAAATTTAGGGGAAAAAATGGAAAAGAACATTTTGTATCTTCTTTTATTTAAAGTTACATTTAAGTACATTTTTGCATAGAATCGCCCCCCCCCCAAAAAAAGTGGTTCCTAGTAATTAAATATCTCAAGGAAATGGATATGCATGCTTAGTACTTTCCTTCAGAGAGCCACAAGTACAGATGTCAGGGCACCTAGGAAGAGTGCTTTGCTTCACATTTTTCCCCAAGCAAAATGAGTCATTAAGTCAGATGTCCAGTGAAAGAAATTCATAGTCAATGATGTATTTTCTAATTATATATTAGAATATATATAATGATCTGACTGGCGTTTTATTTCATTGGGAAAAAATAAGAAAAATTAAGCCTTTGCCTTTCTGTTTAATTATTGTTGAGTCACTGTTATCAAAGGCAGAGGGTGAGTGAATACATTTGGCTTCTTTGTATGGAGCCTGAGATGCAATAAAGTCAGGAATGTACAGAATGGCAGTAGGAAGCATTATTTTGTTTGGGGGACAGTGCAAATAGGCTATTTTGTTCATTTTAAAAACTAATTTCAGAGGGCTAACAGCTTTCACAAATCTGTTGCTTCTATAATTGTTCTGTTGTTTTTTCTTTTTTTATTCTCTCATTTTGTTTTCTTGAAGTATGTATTCCAGTTAGTCTAGCAAAAGAAAATAATTAAATTCTGCTTTTCTATCATACTGCATTCTCTCTTTCCTGGTGCTTTGATTTATAGCCAGGATTAATTTGTGTGCCTTAGTTTCCCTCTTGGCCTAAAGGATTGTTCTTGGAAAACAGCAAAATGTGACATAAATGTTTGTTTCTATCCTCTATTCTTTTATTTGAATTTGAACTATTTGGCATACCCACTATTAAGCCAGGTGCCATCGCAAACAGTATTCATATATAGCTGTCGTTCTCAACACAAATACATTTACTAAACATTTAAAATTATGTTAGATGTGAGCTTATAATGAAAAGTTAAACGAGTACTTAAAATTTCTAAATAAATAAAAATGTAAATTATTACATTCAGAATTGACAGTATTGCTTAGTTTAAAATAAATAATGTGCATCAGTATATTCCAGTGATATGCTATGTAGTTTAGTTGATAGCCTAAACCTCTCTAGGATGTTTTTGACTCCATTCATTCATGATAATTGCTAGTTAATATGAATACAATTCAAAGCAACAAAAGGCCCCACATCTGCAAAGTCTTAACAAAAGTCTGAAACCTGAGGCTGAGCCAAATATTTAATCAAGTAGCAAGTTTTGCAAATCATTTAAAGCTTCATAACCTGGATTACGATTGAGGTACATCATTAAAACAGTCTCATATTTTACAAAGATCACACAAATACTTTCAAATATGTCAGTGGGCTTGCATATATGTGCATGCACAGTCATCACTTCCATGGGGCTGTCATTGAATCAAAGTGACTGTACATGAAGCTAATAAAGGTTTCATTTACTGTGCGACACTTTTTACTACATCTAATTAGAAATTCAGGAGATATTGTTGGCATTACTTCTCTGATTTAAATGAAAATTAAGGAAACAATATGATTATATGTTTTATATTCTTCAAAAAAATTAAGTAGCCTTCAAGTAAATTTTAAGATAGCCATAAAATGCTCATTAACATTTGTGTACACCATAATATTTTTTATCATAATTTCATTTGGACATATATCCGGTATGATATTTTACAATCACAGTTGAGCCCATATTTATTTCTGTGGATTAATAAATTACAAATTGGTCATAAGTAAATCTATGTAACTCCCTAATTATAAAATATGGCATAAATTATGAAAGTAAGAATGATTAAATACATCTTAGCTTAAAGAACAATAAGGTATCAAACTCAATTTCATTGAGGGCTGCATCAGGGTTGGGTTGACCTTAGGAGAGCCGGGGGGCATGGCTGGGGTAGTTGTGGCCAGCGCAACATTGATCACATCAGGGGGGGCACCTGTGGTGGCCCAGATGGGACTGGGGGGATCCATTGCCTCCATGGGATGGCAGCAGTCCCTCAGTGGCTTCAGGGCAGCCCTGTGGATTTAAGGC